TGGAGAACTCTTAAAAAACTACAAATGAACCTACCATTTGACCCAGTTATACCACTCCTTGGCATCTACCCAAAGAACTCATCCTATTGCAGAGACACTTGTACATCCATGTTTGTTGCTGCTCTTTTCACAATAGCTAAGAGATGGAAGCAACCTAAGTGTCCCTCAATTGACGAGTGGTTAATGAAAATGTGGTTCATTTATACGATGGGAGTTTTACTCAGCAATAAAATAAAGATGAAATCATGAAATTTGCAGGTAAATGGATGGGAACTAGAAACTGTTATACTAAGTGAAGTAATACAGACTCAGAAAACAAACAAACAAACAAAATAAATGGTGAAGATATGAGAATCCTAGCACCAAATCCTTATAAGTGAGTATATATCCAGACGTAACTACAGGAACTAGGATAATGAAAAGGAACCAGGGATGTAAAGGAAAAGAAATAATCTGAAAGAGAAGAACAGTAGAAAACAGGTGTTAACAAGGGAGATATGGAAAAAAAATGGGGTTATTTTAAGGGGAAGGGGGAGCGAAGGTTATACAAGGAACATAGGGGATAAGGGACAAGAAGGAGCTCAAGAGAGGTGAGACCATAGGAGAAGGGTACTATTAAGGGAGAAATGGGGAAAATGGGGGCACCTTAAAAGGGGAAACCATGGTGGAAGGTTTAGACAATGTGAGAGATAAATAATACCTAGCTAGTTTTAGAAAACCAAAGGGAACTATATTAGGCTAACAACCTACTGACAAATTATACATACAACTAGGTCAAAGAATGTAATATATGCCTAGGCAAGGTTTATCTGAGAGTGTTTGGTCTTTGACCAAGCTCTATCTACATGGCACATGGTAATTAAAGTACCAGACTGGTGGAACTAACCTTCTTGGATGTTTAACAGCCATACTTTGAGGCCTATACTAATTTGGTCAGGGGGACATAAAGGACAGTTTTTGCTCCGTGTCCCCCTAGGTCGACAAAGTTCCAGCAGGACTATGAGCATCTCTCAAAATGTCCTGTAACTGTGGTGAGTCACCTGTCTTCCTGAGCAAGGAGGCCGTGGAGATTCCCACCAGATGGACCTGAACCAGTGTCCAGACTACAAAGAGGAGGGTCAACATAGAGGAATCATTTCCTCCACGCTTCCAAGCAAGCCAGCCATGGTTGAGCAGGACCTTTGACTTATCTTCACATAGACGGAACTGGTAAAGAATGGAGCTAGGGGCTCCTCCCAAGCCCATGTTACCCCTGAGGAACAGATCCTCAAATGACCCTAAGAGTAAAAATAAATGGTTTTATCTGGGCCAACTGTGGGGTCTTAAATACCCAAAAGGAAAGTATAACCAAAGATTAATGGGGTCAATATAATTTGTAAGAGTCCATATGTATAGCTAAAGGCTAACAAGAAACAATGCCAGACAGAAGATACCTTCCTTTGAGTTATTGGCCAAGGTGGCCCAAAAGACTCCCAGACAGTAACCTAGCATAGAACTAGGAAGATGAACAGCAGACCCCAATCTTATCTAAAGGAATATTGACAACCGATTGCTGCTAGATGAGGAACAGCCGATCTTCCTAAAACAAGGATCTCTAGATAGGCTGACTAGATTCAGCAGACAGACAAGCACTGGAGAATGGCTGGGGGTGTCAACAACACAGTGGACAGTAACAGGGATGACAGAGTATATGGGCTCCAGTATGTGGGAGGAGGGAGGCTATGGGAGGGTGCCATTTGAGAAATGGGTATATAGATGAATAAGATTGTGTGGGATGCTCTGTATAATATACACACAGAAAAAACCAACAAATAAAAAAGACATATTTGAGGAGGAAGCATAAAAATTTACTTCATGTTAAATAGTAGAGATGATAAACATTACCAGTGAAATCTACCTGATGATTTTATATCCATACTTAGGTACTAAG